CGTAACAACAGGCCTGAGTTGTCTTTATGTCCTAAATATTGATTAAATTACACATGATTAACCATGCATATATGCTTTACTTTTAACTACCAAGTACCAACCAATTGCACGTGTATTTATTTGTGAGATTGCCTTTTTCCTTTTCCTGTCTTCCCCTTGTGAGGGGGGTAGATTGAGTCTCAAGGGTCCAGCCATAGACATATTTTGTTCTTGATTTCAGAGACCAAATTTAAGGCAAAACGGGCAAATATAAAGCCTCTCCAAAACAAGGAGGGAAATGAAAAAAATAAGAATAGAAAGGAAGAAAGAAACATACAACTATTGGGAGTATTTTTGGCTTTTGCAAAAGCAATGTACAACTTTTCCAAAGTATTGGACCCTCGGAAATGCTTTAGCGGTAGAACTACAGCTCTGCTAGAGGGCTGCCCTCTTAAACTAACAAGAAGAGAAAGATTATAACCTACTGGGATAATCCAGTTGGCTGGAACACCTACATCTCGTTAGGAGGTCAAGATTTTAAGTCTTGTCACAGGCAAGACTACCCTTAGGCTACAACGTCCAATTACCCAAAAAAAAAATAAAAATATAGACTATGAATTTAAATAATAAATATATGAATAAACCTTTAGGAGTGCAGTCATAAGGATTGAGTAGATTGGCCGATCTGCATACTGTATTATACATTGAATTTAATGGGTTTATAATTAAATGAACCTTTAGGAGTGCAGTAATAGGATTGAGTAGGTGGGCTGATATACGACAAACAGCTGCACACTGTATGATACATTGAATTTGGTGGGCGTATAATTAAATAAACCTTTAGGAGTGACGCATTGAATTTGGTGAGCTTATAATTAAATAAACCTTTAGGAGTGTAGTCATAGAGATTGAGTGTTGTTTGGACTGGATATGTGATATACATTTAGCGATGTCCAAGGAACGCAAATCATTACTGGCAAACAATTATTTTCCATTGAACTCAACTGGTGAATTCGTCTTGTAAATCTTCCCATCATAAATGTTTTAAAATTTGGATTAAATGGATGGAAAATTGGATCAAGAATTGGGAAAAAAAAGAAAAATCTTTTCCCAAACTCAAGTGCAAATTTGTGATATTAAGATCTTTAAAATGCATATCAAGCAAATTTGATGTGGATTCGCTGTGTTGGTGAGTTATTATTTCTTGATTAGCTTTTGTATTTGTTTTCCTATGCTGGTTCAATACATACATGTTTTTCTTGCTTTTGAAAGACTGCTATTTGAACCTTACCAAACCAAACCAAACCAAACAAAGCCTTAAGTCCCATCAAATGGGGTCGGCTACATGAATCATTTTTCTCTACGCGGCCCTATCAAAGGCCATTTTATTAGTCAAATTAAGTAGATCCATATCTCTATTTATAACGTTAGCCAACGTTAATCTAGGCTTACTCCGTCCCCTAACACTCCCCTCTACCGTCACAACATCGCATCTCTTCACTATAGCCTCTGTTGGTCTCCGTTGAATGTGACCAAACCATCTCAATCGATTCTCTCAACTTATCTTCTATCGGTGCTATTCCTACCCATTCCCGAATACACTCATTCTTAATTCTGTCTTGTCTAGTCTTGCCATACATCCACTTTAGCATCCTCACCTCAACCACACTTATTTTATCTACATGTTGTTTCTTGGTTGCCCAACACTCCGTCCCATACAACATCATTGGTCTAATAGCCATTCTATAGAACTTACCTTTTAGTCTAGTGGGTATTCGTTTATCGCACAGTACCCTAGACGCACTTCTCCACTTACACCATCCCGCCTTAATCCTATGGGCCACATCCGCATCAATCTCCCCCGATGTTGTGATAATCGACCCTAAATAACGAAAATGTTCACTCTTATTTTGGTTCTCAATCTTCACTTCTCCTCTGCTTTCATTGTTATTGTTACTAAATTTACACTCTATGTACTCTGTCTTATTTTTGCTTATCCGGAAACCTTTAGATTCAAGAGCTTTTCTTCAAATCTCCAACTTTGTATTAACTCCTTCTCTAGTCTCATCCACTAGCACAATATCGTCTGCAAAAAGCATACACCATGGCACGTCATCCTAAATGTTTCTCTTCAACTCATTCATAACTAAAGCAA